ATATATATATATATAAACTCAAATTTTAAATGAAATACAATGAATAAAATTTAAGTACCAATATAAAAGTATTTTTCTATTTTTATTTTTTATGGAAAATCTATAAAAAAATATGAAAACAATTAAAAGCTGTTATATCATAAAGGGTGCCCCTGAATACTTTGGGTGCGCCGGCCTACGGCCGGATACATATTAGTGTGATGGGCCAGGCCAGGCACACTCTGGCCCTCACTTAGCTGTATACCTAGGTCCCGACACGAACCTATCATTAACGGTTGGACATTTTGACGAAGAGATTAGTATTTAGAACGGCAGTCATGCGCCTGCACACGGATTTCACTACCAGCTAGAGCAAGCCTCAGTATATTGTTATAAAGGTAGTTAAAAATTAATAAAAGTATAWMGTWACATTTTTTTTTTWWTWWTWWTWWTWWTWAARRAAWWAMCCYYSGGCAACTTGGCCATTGTGATAAGATACRTTTTTTTTTTGAAAGATGTTACATAATAATAAAAGAAAAGTTTAATAACAATAACAATAAATGCTTAAATTATATGAGAATAATAAGGTTGTGTTTTATATTTTTTAAATGATTAAATAAGTGTGTCCAGTCATGTCTCCTGGAGTAACACGAATATGTCTGGCGATTGCAGAAAAGATCCTAGTATATCGTATAAATCACTAGATAGTTACAATTTTATATAATAAGTATTAAGTATTAAAAGTTTAAATTTGTAATTTATTTCTAGTTATAAATTCATAAAAAAATATTTTTTTAAATCTAATATTTAAAGATTCGATACAAGAATCTGAGTTTGTCTACTTTTATCAAATGAAAATGTCTATCGGAAATTTAAATTAAATTTTTATGMGCACTTGAATTCACACACATTGTACCGATATTCAAAAACAAATAACTGTAGAAACTTGAAATTTATACCATATGTTTATTTTATCAATTCCTATATTTGATAAAATTCTTAACAATTTTTAAATTATCTATAGACATTTGAATTTTTTATTCTATAAATTTCAATACAATTGTATTCTTAGGGTCAAAAAGCTTGAAAATTTAATGCAAGGTTCCCCATATGTTGATTTAATAGCAGTTGGAAAATATTAAAAATACATAGGCACGTTTTTTTTTTATAACCGTTAAAAGTTCAAATTTTGACAAAATTTATTTAATTGAAAATTTACAAATTCTTTAGTTGTTAAAAAT